AATGGTTCAACACCATTTATTCATCATAAGGAAAAATAACTAACTAGAAGGAGATCTTATTATGTACCTGGGGACAAGTAGGTTTCTGGGTTTGGATTCTTGCCTTATATATTCCTATTCACAGGGGATCTAGACTTCTCTTAGGGGCAGGTCTCTAGCCATGCATAATCTTAAATAAATAAATATTGAAACAACAAAATACCACATCCAACAACTTAGGGCTGACTTCATGCATAGCCTCAGATGGTTATGTATGCCCAGCCCCAAAAGATTAGGATATGGACTGGAATTGGGCCAAAATCAAAATTCTGAATCCAACCATCCCGATAACGTGGTGCCATTAAAAATATCAGCCTGGATCCACGTTTTGCAGAGGTCACATGATGTGCCTGACCAAAGTACAAAGACCTTGTACCTGGGTGCCCATTTCTTTTGTGGTTTGAGCCTACCTCTAATAGGGACCCGTGTAATATATTTAGATTGCTGCTGCTTTAAGTTTTAAGCCAAACGCTTACTAATAACTTTGAATGTATGACAGTTGTGGTGACTGTGGTTCATTTTCTGTATGTGCCCCAAAAGAAACAAATATTGCACTAGATGGAATAATAACGTATCTTTCCCTTATTCTCAGGATTCAGACAACCCTTGTGTTCACAGCTTTCTTTAGCATGCCTTTTATTTGAAGACACGTAAGTGTTTGGTAAAATTGGGACTTATAAGAGAAATAAATCTCCCTATTGTTCTCTTGGGGCACAGCTGTTCTAAACAGTAATCCTGGGAATTGAAACAGGTTTCCTCTCTCAATAACATTTATATTTGTTTCCTGACATTCTATCCATTATAATGTGAGCTTCTTCAGCTGACAAAGGGAAAAATTAAAATGGCTGAGGAGTTCTGCCATTACAATAGTGCTCTCGTGGCATGGCTTGGTTATCGATAAACACCAATGTTGGATAAAGTATTTTTTAAATCCCATTCATGTGTTACTTGATGCAAAGATCCAATAGATCTAACCTTTGTCCCTCTTCCTTCTGTATTTAATTTTCCTGTCCCCCACCACATTCTGCCCTCTGCTCTCAGACTTGTTGGCCTTATAAAAGGGAATCGGATTAGCAATCTTATCTGCTTTTACTTAAGGACCAACACAAAAGGGTGGATCAAATGATTTGAGGGAGAGGAAGAAGGAGCTTGTAGGAAAGACTGGAGGGAGGACTGGGAGTCAGGAGAACTGAATGTTTTCCCCAGCTCTTCAATAGACTTCTGTGACTTTAGACAAGTCATTTAGCCTCTATGTGCCAGTTTCCCTGCCTGTAAAATGGAGATAATTCCCCATCTCACAGCAGGGTAACAAACCTACATTGCTTGTGTGTCAGGCAGAGAGTCTTTAGCAAAAGGCTTTAGAGAAATACAAAATAGGGATTCAAATTTCATATTCAGTTGTATGGGTATCAATTGTGAATAATTCCATTGTGGATAAGAGTGTTACTCCAGACTGCCACATGTGTAACTGAGAACAGAGTTTGGCCCTTTTTTGATAGTAGATATTTCTTTTTCTCTAATAGTTGTGATTCAGTCAATTAAAAACTTTTAAATCCAGAGTACCGAAAATGTCACTCTGGATGTGAATGGGTCAGACATATTGTCGCTGTCATAAGAATATACAGTTCTAGTGGAGATAACATTTTGCAGATTCAGATGTGAAATTCCAGGAGTGGAAGTTATTTTTGCACTGTTTATTTTTGCAATGATAATCCATGCCATGTTCTTTCTGTACATGTTACAAATGATTCAGTTGTCATTCAGGAAAAGCACCTGTATTCTGTATTAACTTTTGCTTTGAGCAGAGGATTGGACTAGATGACCTCCTGAGGTTTCTTCCAACTCTAATGTTCTATTATTCTATTCAGTGAAGAGTAAAAGCACTGTAAACTCTTGCTAGGACAACCCTGTCTTCAGCATACAGAATTCTGTACTGAAGCTGTAAGTAAATAACACAAGGAGAGGCAAAGCACCAAGAGAATTTCTTCAGAGGAAGAAACAGGCATGTGAAAATGGCCATCTGCTGAATGCAACAACAGGGTAAGCAGCTCATGTAAAAGAGCTGCTAGTAGCAGGAACATCTGTAAGGGTCTCTGTACTGTTTCAGAATCACAATGTATTTGTTATTATACACTGAAGAGTATTTCTGGCAGAATTTTGTCACAGAACCTTGCAGAATGGACTCCCTGGAGGCAGAGTAACAAATCTGGACTGAGGATACCTGACCCAGCTGGTAAATACCCGCAGAAGTGACTCAGAGCCGTTATTCTCATGTTTTTTCTACATTTGCATCTCCTTTTGAAATTAACTTTTTCTGTTGTTTTAGGGCTATTAATATTAAGGTAGTCCCCACGCTCTAGTAGGCATTGCCTGTGAATAGCGATAGACATAGGCTCTGTCTGGACCGCTTATAATCTGAGGACACAACAGCTAAAAGGACACGGATAAAAATAAATACAGGTTTGAAAAACAATAGACTCTTAGCTGTTTGTTTACCTCAGCATTGTTAGGTGGCTCATTTCTTGTAAGCATCGTAGGAAGAATTGGGTCTAGAGGAGGAATTGAAGGAGCAAAGGGTTAGTGGCCTTACAGTGTAGTTCAGGATGGGCATTCAATGCATAGGGGGCAGTGTGGGGAAGAAAGTTGGGGGGCAGTGGCAGGGAAAGTGGACAAGCACAAGGTTGAGGCTGTCATTGCTGGAGCTGGGTGGGCAACACAGTAAGAGACCAGAGTGGATAAGCTGGGAGGCGGAGATTTGTGAAGGGCTTTGAAGGGGAGCATAAGAAGCTTGAAGGTAATGCAGTGGAAGGGAGAGAACCAGTGGAGCAATTAAAAGGAGGAGAAAGGAAATATGGTCAGAGTCAGGCAAGATAAATAACATAGTACTTGCACCTTGTACAGCCTGGAGAGCTGATGGGGGATATCAAGGAGAAGCTCCCATTGACATTGGGGAATTACTGAGTTCTCGATACTTTTGAAAACTGGGCCACTTACTAAGTACCCAAATAGGGTCTGAAGAACCTAATTTTAGGCACCCATTTTTTGAAAATCTTGGTTGTGCTCAAACTCTATAGTAGACAATATTTACTATTAGATTTCATTGTATCTTTAAAAACTTATTGTATAACCATGAACAACATATTTAAGGGCAGCTAGGGGGAAGAGCTTGGGACTGGAAGAGCCAGTTTTGCCTGTGACTTGCTATGTGACCCCAGGAAAGAGGTTTAACCTGTGTGTTTGTTCCTCATCCATTAATAATGCATTTCTGACTTTGAGGTCTACAGATGAAATCTCTAGAGAATTGCAATGTATTAGTATAGTCATAGTCCTACAGTTAGTTGCCTTAGTGTTTTAAAAAGAAACCCCAGTTTTGATTCATTCATAACTTTCTGTAATTCTGACATACCAGACTGAAATTTTAGACTAGGTCTCTGCCCAATGAGGATTATTTTTTAAAAGTTGAGGGGAAATGGTTAAGCTGTTTTTGAGTAGAAAGAGAGGTGTGTGTGTGTGTGTGTGTGGTGGGGGGGGGAATACATTGTCCCCATTATATAAAAACGAAATGAAAAATTGGGTCTTTTAGATTAAACAGCTAGAGGTCATAGGCTGAAGTTCTGAGAAGTCTGAATGTTCCAGTGAAAGCTGGCTACAAATTGACCAAGTTCTGAGACTTTGAGACCATAGTTTTCAGTAGTTCCAACCTTAATGATGCTTTTCATCACGATCCACCAACATTCCAGGTGCAGGCTGGCTGCTCTGCACATGTCTGTGTGGCTAATTTGGCTGCATAATAAAAAAAAAATGTAAAATTAAGACAATTGTCCATTAATTCAAAAGCTTCTTGCTGTTCTAATTTTGGCCCTGGTGCTACAAATGACCCGAGACCTATTTGGTTTAAATTACAATAGGATTGCTCATGTGAGTAAAGTTATGTGAAGTAAAGTGTTACAGAATTAAAAGTTTAATGATTAAAATAATTTGATTTATTATTTATAACGTGTGTAGTTTATCTATGATACCAAGGAAATGTCTCTGATTTTAGAACAAAAGTGACGACACTTCCCTTTCACCTCAGACCACAGGGCTTTGATCATGGCGTTATCTGATTTGGACTCAACATGAAAAAGCAAGATCCTGTCTATGGGGCAAATTGCATCCTTGGATGCGCACACAGAACTTGTCGTGACTTCAGTAGGATCCCCATGTGTGTATCCAAAGGCAGAATGCTGTCCCTCATGTTTTTGGTTAGATTTCCATGGTGGTATACTATGAATGAAAAGTGTATCTCCTTTATGGTTCAGAGATGCCCAGATAACAGCAACCCAACCACATGCTGAAATTTCACCCCTGTGTTTCCAGATTTGTATGGAAAGCAGTGCTTCATAGTCTCTAATTGATTTGTTTTAGTCAAATTATGAAGGAGGGGAAAAGTTCCTTTTTAAGTGTCTTGCTTATGTTCCAGTTTTTCATAAACCCAGTGCTTCAAAAGTCTTATAGGAAATGTTTACCTCAAGTTATTGAGAGGCATAATTTTAGTGCTTTTGTAAGGCACCAGCTTGATATCTTTGGAGACTGCAATCCTTGCTCATGGAACAAATACACAGTAGGGATGGTGTCAGTGCAAGGTTCCCCATGCTGACACACATCCAAATACTGGATTTTTCTCTGAACTCAACCTCTTTTGAAGTTCACCCATGTCTGATCAGGACATTTTACTATCAGGGAAAGATCTAGCCAATATGAAACATTTTAAATGCCCGTTTTTATTTTTTAAATAGTGGGGTGTCTGAAGAAACAGATGTGAAACAATGAAAAGTTTCAGAGAGCTGTGCTAACATGTATTTTAAACATTATTTTAAAGTCAGGATGAAAATGTCTATTGTTTATTTTTTAAACCTTCCCCCCTCTTTGAAGTCTCACTTCCAGTGATTGTAAAATATTATACAGTACTCACTTACAGGGCCGTAGCAACAAAGAATGTGGCCCCCTCCGAACATATGTCCGGGCGGGGCCCCTTACAATGCAGAAACTGGAATGCGGTATTTATTTTATACAATATACAGGGTTCATATTATGTATACATAGGCGTACAGTGTACATGTATTCCGTATTTACGCAAAGCGCTTCTTTCGAGCCTTGTTCTCCACAAATTGGTTAATCAATGCGTCATAGTCCAGAGATCTGGCAATCTTGTTTTCGATTGAGATAACTGCAAGCGCAGAAAGCCTGTCATCTGTCGTGGTTGAGCGCAGGATATTCTTGATCAGTTTCATTCTGCTGAAGCTCCTTTCAGCACCAGCGACAGTAACTGGTGTGGTCAGAAGAATTCTGATGCAAATGCAAAGATTCGGATATATCTCCTGAAGGCTGTTCTTGTATATGTACGTTAAAAAATTGTTTGCCGTGACAAGTCCTCTCTCTTTCTTGATGACATAAATAAAACGATTCAATTCCATTATGAGTTCGTTGGCATCAATGTCTCCCATTTTTCTTTCAAAATTTTTGCTGTGATTCTCCAGTTCATTTTCTCTGTGACGCTGCTTCAGGCTGTTAGTGTTGTACAGAAATCCAAACAACTTATACCACTCCACGAGTTGGTCAAATCGCAACGAAACAGAAGATATGGTCTGATCAGTGAGAACAAGAAAGAACTGCGATTTGAATTTTTCTTCAGCAGAAAGACGACTCGAATCATCAGCACATTCGTAATCAAACATTCTCTTCTTACGTCACACCCTGGTTTCTGGAAACACCTGCTCAATACCCATATGCTCTGCTATTTCACGTGCATTTGTGACCACAGAGATATATCCTGTATTTCGATAGTCTTCCAAAAACTTCTTTGTAGCACCGACTTCTGCCTGCAGTACGTTAATTGACACATCTGGTGACTGAATTAATTTGCTGGTTTTATTGACGTGAAATAGTATATCGTACCACGTGTACACAGTCAGAACAAAAGGCCACGTAGTAACATGGTCTAAAAGCGCACCGGCTTCTGTTGCTGTATTGCCATCTTTCTTATCGAGCACATATTCTCGCAAAGATGACAAAGCATTGCACAATTCTTCAAGGTGATAATGCAATGGCTTCACAGCATCAATTCTCGACTCCCAACGAGTGTCCGATAACCCTTTAACAGATATTGGCATATGTTCTTGAAGTATATCCCAACGTGAAGGTGAAGAAGAAAAGATAACGTATATTCTGTTAATCAGACCGAAAAAGTCAACAGCATATTTCAATGACTTTGCCGCGTCTGAGATCACAAGATTCCAAGTGTGAGCTCCACATGGTACATACAAGGCACGGTCATTTATTTCTAGCATGCAGGCTTGAACTCCTTTATTTTTTCCTCTCATATTTGTGCCGTTATCATAAGCTTGGCCTCTCATGTCAGCAATGTCTATTCCTAAGTTGTTTGCCTTTTCAAGAAACGCTTCCAATAAGCCCTCGCCAGTTGTATCATGAACATTAAGAAAACCAACAAACGCTTCACGAATATTGACACCATCTTCACCATTGCATTCAACAAAGCGTAACACCACAGACATCTGTTCTTCATGTGACATGTCGGGAGTACAGTCCAAAATAATTGAATAATATTTTGCTTTTTTAAGCTGCGCTATGTTGACCTCTTGAATGTTACTGGCAACAAGTTGAATCAGCTCGTTTTGGATCTGTGGACTGAGGTACTGAACATGTATCTCTGCCTTCTTAATCCTCTGTAAAAGTTCGCTGAGGACAGTATCATACTTTGCAAGCAATTCAAACAGTCCCAAAAAGTTGACATTCGAAGGATCGCCGAGCTTTTCATTACTTCCTCGAAATGCCAAGTTTCTTTTGGACAAGAAAATAACGACATCAACCATGCGTTTGACAACATTTCTCCAGAAATCTCTTTCTTTCAGAAAAGTCTGCAATTCGAGTTGGTCAATAGATGTACAGTTTACTATGCCTGACCGAAGGTCAAACCATTTCACCATACAGTCTTGATGACCTTTGCCTGTTTCATGCTGCTGAAGTCTTTTTGACAGTGCTTTCCAACCAGATGTTCCACGATGTAGCGGTATGTCGCCAGTGCCAAATAATTTACAACAAAAACAAAAAATGGCATCTTTTTTAACTGAGTACATTAACCATGAACGTCTTATTTTCTCGCCATTTGCCATGGTTCGATAGAAATGAGTACTTGTGAACCTCCGTCTTTCCTTGTTAAATGGAAATTTGCAACTTTTATTCTGCTGCGGTGGGCCATGTGCAACAATGTCACACACTTGCCTGTCCGATATTCTAGATGGCCAATCTCTTGGATCATCAGTCAGTGGTTCAGATTCAGATACTTCTTTCCCGGCAGCAGCTGGAATATCTGTCACAGTTTGTTTGGTAGAACAACTGGCTTCACCTTCGACCTCACTTGAAGCACTTAGGATACGATTCGTCGCTGCTAGCGCTGTCCGTTTCATGTGCCTGTACCTGTACGTTGGATTGCAGCACAAAATACGTTGACAACTTTGGAATTTTCTCAAGTTCCTTCTCGGCATCTTTTGCTGCCTTTCGTTTACTAGCTCCGCTCTTATACGTTCTCTTAGACATCACAAAGCACGCTTCTGCGTTGGAAACGAATAGTTTCAAACGATAAAAAATTAAACAACTAAATTAATAACATTTATCCGCCAACTGCCATTATGAACCCAAATACACATTCTTTGAATGGGTCCAACTAAAATTCGAAACTGACTGACAGACAACTGATGTAACCAATAGCATTATAATGTATCATAATGACTTCACGGTTTTGTCAGTAAAACCGACATGGATTGTGCAATAGCGTCAATAAATGTCACTTACCTAGTTATACCTTTTAGGGGCCCCCTTCCTTGCAGGGCCCCCTCCGGTCGGAGGGTACGGAGGGCGCTCGCTACGCCTCTGGTGTGTACGCTGTTTGGGGGAGTCTCATGTACCCTAAAAATGCATTCACTGCAACAAGCTCAAATCGTGGACCCGCAAGAACAGGGAGCTAAGACTGAAACTGCTCCTATTAGAAAACTCCCTCAGACCTGCGTCTGACCCGGGCCAGCAAAGCTCTTTAAAACCCTCAAGGGAGAAGGGCAAAACAAAGAAATGGCCAGCTTCCTCCCCGCCCCAGGGGCCGCTCTTCAGCAAAGAAGGCTCAAATGGCTTCCTCCTCACCAGTGCCCGCCGCTCCGCGGCTCAGCACTTTTGATTCTGAAGGCACCTCAGGCACCAACCGTGAGTCAGCTGCTCAGCTACCTGGTGCTGAGGCTCAGGGCTTTCAGCACGCGCCTCATACAGCTCTCCCTCGGCCACCTTTGACAGCACGGTGTCACAGCGCCAAGAGCACAGGCAGGTACTACAGCACCGCCATTTGATCTTGTGGTGCCGCTTTCTCACCCGATGGAGCTGACTCTGCCTGCACCAACGGCAGCGGCACCAGCTCCATTTCAGTCACCCTTCACTCCTCTCTTGCCTTACCAATCAGCACCTGGAGTCACTGCACTGCCTCAGTTTTTACATCAAGGGGACTTAAGAGTGTCCCATGCCCCTGAATCTCCACTACTTGGCACCGATCTATCACTGGGACCTTCAGCACCCTATCTGCAGTACTCCCCTACGGCTTCAAGCATCTCAAGTGGAGAGGAGGAGGAAGAGGATGGCGAACATATGTTTTCCTCACAATATTCCTCCCAGGTTCGATTACCTGCAAGTGGGAGATGCACTAAAGCACGATCCTCCTATCCTAGTGGCTACCCACACTGATATGGTAACCCCTGGATGCCACCACCTATGCGCTTTCCTGTGCAATGGCCACACTGGGACCCATGGAACTACACCAGGACACAGTCGGGTGTTCACTGTGCAGCCTGTAGGAAAGATGTCAGACCCTCCCCGATGCTTCCTTACATTGATAAGCAGATAAGACCTGAAGTAGCCGCTCCGCCCGTGCAGGACATCGCTTCCCACACCTCTCCGACAGTGATACCACCACAGGAGGTCACAGTGCCCCCACCACCTCCCACTACTGATGAGCTCACTCACTTTCAGGAATTATTTAAAAGAGTAGCCAATGAGCTCAAGATTACCCTGGAGGAGGTACCAGAAACCCACCATGAGCTCACCAACATATCACAAGCTACCACCTCATCCAAAATAGCCCTACCAATTAATGGGGCCATCATGGAGACAGCTAAAATTATCTGGCAGACCCCGGCTACGATAACCCCCACTACCAAGAGACTGGACCGCAAATATTTTGTCCCGTCAAAGGGTTCTGAGTTTCTATTTACACACTTATCACCCAATTCACTAGTGGTCGATGTGGCCAACCAGAAAAATAAGCACCAGCACTTCTGATTTACCCCATCTGACAAGGATAACAAGAGACTGGACTCCTTTGGGCGCAAAGTGTATTCATCTTCCACCTTGAAATTTCGAGTTACATGGTGCTCTTAGCAAAATATGAGCTCAAAAATTATTCTAAAATAATGCAATTTATTGATGATGTGTTGGAAGACAAACAACAACAATTCAAAGCAGTGGTGTCTGAGGGCCAATTGATCTCCCGCACAGCTCTTCAGGCCATCCTCGATACTACGGATGCAGCCGCCAGATCCACAGCCACGGCCATAGTCATGCAGCGGGCCTCATGGTTTACTTCTTCCTCCTTTCCCAAGGAGATGCAGAACATTGTTGAAGATCTCCCATTTGATGGAGACAAGCTCTTCGCCTCTACCACCTATGAGGTTCTCCATTCCATGAAAGACTCGCGCGCCACACTCAGATCTTTAGGCATCCAGCCACCTGCCACAAAAAAGAGGCAGTACAAATATCAGCCTTACCAATGGCCACGTTACCATGCTTTTGCGCAAAATCAACATTTCAGACCATATGATATGCAGCAACAACAACGCCATAGACCCAGAACCCAATGACGTCACCCTCCACAAACAACGGTGACCCACCCTCCTACCTCAAATAAACAAATGTGAAGTCTTGGTTGAGGGTATTGAAAGCCTCCCACCCTCTTCAGCGCCAATTTCAACCATCCATTTCTTTGGATACCATCTACGCCCATTCCTTGCCAATTGGGAAGCCATCACTACAGACAGATGGGTCCTGGAAATTATCAGATCGGGTTATGCCATTCCCTTCCTCTCCATACCCCCACCCACCCTCCCACCCCATCAAGAAACAAAAATTCTGGATGGTTACTCTCCCAGTGAGAATTCCGATGCTGGACCAAGGAGATTGGTTTTCAACCCTCGACCTCCAAGATGCATATTTCCATGTCACTATGCACCCTGCCCATCAATGTTTTCTCAGATTTGCTGTGGGAGTGGAATACTATCAATACAGGGTCTTGCCCTTTGGCCTTTCCACTGCCCCACGTATCTTCTCAAAAGTACTAGTAGTCATAACAGCACATCTCAGAAAGAATGGGGTCCTCATTTTTCCTTACCTGCACGATTGTCTCCTCAAGTTCCTCACTTTCTGGGAAGCGATCTGAGTGACTTCTGCAACTGTGCACTGCTTCCACACCGTGGGTCTGCAAATAAACAGAAACAAATCTACCTTACGACCTACAATTAAGAAGAAGCTTCTAGAATCAATTAAGGCAGGCTAATCAGGTCACCTGGGTTTTAAAAAGGAGCTCACTTCAGTTTGTTGGGGGAGTGTGAGGAGCTGGGAGCAAGAG